CCACCGCGCTTCCCAAGCGGCGCACTATAGCAGTGCTCCACCGGGCCGGCCCAGTGATGCTGTATTTTCAAAGTTCCTCTTTAGTGCTTCATCAGTGGCATGAATTTCCTATGCATGGATATTCTTTTGATAGAAAATATAATTCAGAACTTTCTATGAAACGTGTTAATATGTAGAAACTCCTCTTCCAGGCTTCTAACTCTCATTTTTACCCTTATAATTTATTTGCTACTGAAAAACATCTTGAATCGCTTTCTTGCATGGAAGTAGTAAGATTATTAAAAATACTAAAGGTAATAGACAAATAAGCAAGTTTTGCTATCTAATTGAGGTCTTGAAAATTGGAGACCATCTGGTTATTTTTTTCTTTTAGAAACACTATGTTTATTCCATAGTTCATCATTCTCAACAGAATTTTTCCTTTTCATAAGCGCTGTGCCTCAGCCTGCAGTATAACATATGCTCGTTTATAATCATCTTTCAGTTTATCACATATAAAGAGAGGAATTTAAAAATTGAATGCCCTACATAATTGAATAGCCTTACATAATTCACTGTTTTTACTATGGTACTGTGTATAGGGTTTTTTGTTTTTTTGTTTCTGTTTTCTTTTGGTACCAAGAATTTTCTTGAAGAAGGAAACAGTGTGTTAATTTATGTTCTAGCACAAGCTCCTTAATTCAAAATGTTTTCCTGTCATGTACCCACACCACTGGAACATACTTTCCAAACACTGATACTCCAAACCACATCTGTTGACATTGTGGTTATAATTTTACCATACAGAATCCTTTATATCACCCTCATGTTTAAATCACACATGTAATAAGAGAATTTTCATGTTAGCAATATCACATTTTTCAAGTTGCATTGAAAAATACTTTGCTAACCATATAATAGTTTTCAATATCATAAGCCAGATTCTGAATACTTTAATCTGTGGTGTGATTGGAAAGTTGTACTTGAACCACCTTCTTTGCCACAGATTTACCAACATTTCCAAGCAAACATCACTAATGCAGTCTTTTACTGATATCTTGGCAATGGTTTTAGTTTTAGCAATCAAAAGGGCTTCTTTGTTAAAAGGCTATAATCTTTAGCAACCTCCTTTCTCAGAAGTCTGCAACATTCTAATGTAATATGTAGAATTTTGCATCTGCTTCTATTGGCTTTTTAGTTCAGTATTCTTTCTTTCAAAGATTTCTTTTGATTTTGAACTTATTTATTTATGTTTTGTATGTAAATGCCACTGAAGTTTTGATGGATTTGTTGCTTCATTAGCCAAAACATCTCTGCAAAGAACTCACTGTGGTTTTAGCGCTGCATGATCTGAAACCAAATTTAATATTTGAAGGATCATAGAATAAAACCAGTATGACCTTAGTTGGTCTTCATTTTGTTTGGAATCACTTCCATTAACATCATGTAGTTTACTACTACGGTAGCATTCAGAAAAGGTGTGTGTTTCCTTTATAGAAACTCAAGCGAGACCTGTTTTGTCATTAATAAGTTAGGATTAAAAAGAGATGATACCAATTTTGCTTTCTTAATTTAGTTACTAATTTTAAAATATAAATTTTAAAAATCACACTTGATTAACAATTAAAAGATTGTAAAAAATAACACATTATAGGGCCGGCCCGGTGGCGCACTGCTACAAGTGCGCCGCTTGGGAGCGCGGCGGCGCTCCCGACGAGGGTTCGGATCCCACATACAGACCGGCCGCTCACTGGCTGAGCGAGGTGCGGGCGCAGCACCGAGGGTTGCGATCCCGTTGCCGGTCCCGGTCCGGTACGGGCGTGACACTGAGGGTTGCGATCCGTTGCTGGACACGAAAAAAGACAAAAAAGGGAAAAAAAAATAACACATTATAAAAATAAATGCTTACATTTTATTATATTTTGGGGTTTTATTTGACAAAATAACCCTAAAATATCACACATTGTAATGTGGTCTTGTTGTGCATGACTGATAGACAATAGACAGTTCATATCACATGCGACTCACCTTGTAAGTTTGACAATAACTGAATTTATCTATTCTCTATTTAATGCAGTGAGTCTACTGATTATGTCTTGAAT